ATGGTAGAGGCCATTGGTATTAGAACCTTGATGAAGAGTTCTCTTCGAATCTTTGTCCTGAATCACGAATTTAGAATCATCAAAGGTAATGAGACAATTATTGTCCTTAGTAAATTTGTGAACTGACAGAAGATTAAAAGAAATGGAAGGAGCATGTAAAACATGTTTTAATCGAAAAGAACAATGAGGTGTAGGAGGCAGTCCCTTACCAGTGTTGTGAATGGGAATTGTAGTTCCATTACCTATAGTGATCTGATCTGAACCTGAATAGAGCTGTGATTGACTGAGATTATGAAGATCATGTGTGATATGATCTGTAGCAGCAGAGTCCAAGTACCAAGGTGTTTGAGGAGGAGAAATAGTTGCTGATGGAGTAGCTGATGAAGTATCAGCAACAAATGCTCTGGAGCTAGACTCAGAAGGATGCTGAGAACTAGATGAAGATTGATACTGAGAATCCATCCGATACCAGCAGTCTAATGCAGAGTGACCAAAACCTCCACAAATCTGACAAGTTATAGATCTACCTCTGCTGCGAGAGAAACCTCCTTGATCATGAAAATTCCGTGAAAAACCAGAGTTAGTGGTAAAATTAGATCCAGATCTACCACTGCCTCGAGGAGTACCTCTGTATGAATGACCTCGATTGCCTCTGTAAGAGTGACCTCTGAAGGTAGAAGAATGTCCTCTGAGATTAGATTTGAAAGAACCTCGAACCGAAGAGAAGGCCATAGTCGGTTCAGAAGAAAGTATCTGAAATTTGGATTCAATATGAACAGATTCAGAAAGAAGAAGAGCAGTCAATTCTTCCATGGAAATTGACTCTGCTCTAGCTCGAATGGTAGTTTTGAAGGCATCATACTCATTAGGAAGACCATTCAAAGTAAGCAAAACGAGATCTTCATCATCTATAAAGGAAGAAACAAGAGCCAATTGACTGACCAAGGCTTTGATCTTGGAAAGATAATTCTCCATCGAATCTGATTTCTTAGAAATGTTGTTTAATTTGTTCTTTAACTGATGAATATGTGACCGAGAAAGCGAAGTGAATCGCTTATGTAAAGCAGTCCAGATCTCAGCACAACTATGGAGATGAAGAACAGATGAATAGATTTCAGGTGACAAAGTTGCAGTAATGCAACTGAGCAAGTGTGCATCAATAATCTTCTATTGCAGATATTCAGGATTATCCTTTTCTGAACCAGAAGAATCTGTTATTATCATTTGTGGACATGCTATAGTTCCATCAACAAATCCAAGAAGACTAGTAGCAATAAGAATGTTCTGCACTTGAGTTTTCCAGATTAGAAAATTTGATGCATCAAGCTTGATGGTGATAAACGAGGAAAGGTTTGAAATCAGTAATGAGAGATTTGGAGGAAGTGAAGTTGAAGCCATGAGAGAAGATAAAGAAGTGAAAGGAGCCATGAATCAACTCGTTATTATTTCAGAGATACATCAATGTTGATTTACAATGCTTATTTATAAACTTGTATGTATCCTCTAAGTTGTTACAACAGAGTGATAGTGACCACTGTATGGCTGAGATAGTAGAGGCTTCGGGAATCTTCTTGGTGTAGCTGATATAACAGAATCAGTTGTTGGTGTAGCTGCTATAACAGAATCAGTTGCAGCATTGGTTGTAACAGAATCAGTTGAAGCAGTTGAACTGCTATTCTGCTTCAGCTTAGAAACTTCAATAGTCTCGTATCCTAAAATAGTTTGTGATAGAAATAATGCAACAACAATGTTAAGTGTATTTAATTTTTTTACATAATATTGTGCACACAAACTCACATTTTTATGGAGCCCATATGGTGATGTGGAACCACAGCCATATGAGTGTGTGTAAGAAATTAGACATATATATATATATATATATATATATATTGTTTTCCATAACACAATTACTTCATTTATGAGTTTGCATAATGTTATTCCATTAGAGAATAAACAATAAAGAAATATTACATACAAAAATTACTCGATAAACTACTTAATTGGTCATCTTGTTTTTTTATTATTTATTTTATCTATTTAATTTATTTTTAATTGATTACAATCAAATCTAAAATATCAAAAATAATAATTATTTTATGAAAAAAGAAACTTTAAATAAATATAAAGAGAATAACACTCACAAAATGTGAAAAAATTTGAACATTTAATCTCGTATTGAAGTGCAAAAGAATACAAATTTTGATCAACTAACCTGATGATTGGAGTGTACTATTCATAGGTAATGCTCTATAAACAAAATTTATATACAAAAAGTTCATACGTAATGACATGGTGAAGCATTCATCATTGTTGTTTATAATTACAATATCACTGTCAGAATATGCTTTATGTATAAAGATTCTGTTGTAAATCATTTTCTTATTTATTCGTAAACTTGTCGAAGCTGGTGTTATTTGGAGGTTGATTATTCAAATTAACAAGTTTAGTAATCATTGAACAAGAGGGAAAATATATCAATAAAGTTTTTTTTTTTTTTCCTCATTAAAAAAAATGGGTTTAGGAACATCAAAATAAATTACTATTGAAGCACGTGCTTGCTCGTGCTCTCAGACAGCTAATGTTTGATGTCCACGATGTTAAAACTAGTATATGTAACACTCACTTACCGAAATAATGGAAAATAAATACATGTACACACTTCCATACGTCCTAGAAAGAAGCTATAGAAACTATAAATAAGATTTCTCTTGTTTTATTGAACTCTACTAGTTGAGTAATTTAAGGATTAAGAGAGGTTGGGGACAATGGGAAAGGTTGACAGTAGTTGAGAAAATGGCATAAGAAGGTGGAAGAGCTTGGGGTTGGCGGCAGGTGGCAGCTGACCATCGAAATTGCATGAAAAGAGGAAGAATGAAAGAGAAAAGTATACATTAGTATACTCAAGAGAATGGATTGATTAGTTTTATCGTTCCTAATGACCATTTCACTTATTTGTAATTATTTTAAAAAATTTCATTTGTTTTGTTATTTTAGGAAACAACCCGGTGAAATGTAGTTTTTTTTTTGGTTATACAAATGATCCCCAATTTTTATGTCTTTTTTGAGTAGAAATTAAGTATATCATGATGATACTACAACATGAACAAGTAAGATCACCAACTAATAATATTTACTCATGAAAGGGTGAAGAACCGCACAATTGAAATAAACTACACACTCTAAAATGACTATGTAATTGCCGCATATAAATAGTATGATTGATTATACTTACATAGTAGCTTCTTGTTAGATAGTTATAACCATTGACAATTTTTACTAAAGAAAAATGCATGAGGGCTCGAATACTTTGGCTCGAATGGCCCGAAAGTGTGGGTTCTAGAACAGCTCTATCTCGTTCTCTCTCTTCTCTTTTCCACGCTCACCTCTCTTTTGTCAGTGTTATACCCAAGCTCTCAAACTCTCTCTCTATTGCTCTGTCTCTCTCTATTGCTCTGTTTGTCATCATTCTTCCGAATCATCTTCGAATCATTTGAGTCTATCTCTTCTAAAACGGCGCCGAAAAGTTGTACTGTGGAAAGGACTATCATTGTGCTCCGTGGTCAGTGGGATACTCCTCTCACAAGTTCACTCTTACACCCGATTCCTTCATTGTCGGATTACTAACCAATCTCATTCAAATCTCAAGAAAACTCAAAACTAGGGTTTGATGATTGAGGGTTTTGTATTTTGTCTCAATAATTTCAGTTAACCTTTCTATCACAAAACTAGGTATTGATCACACAATTCTACTTAAGAACAATAAATTACCTCATATTTTACTTGAGGATATTCAACATAGAGATTCCGAACAGAGGTGGACGGTGATCAGCGACAGTCGTCAGTGAACACCAGGTCAGTGGTCATCGTGGCCGTCTCTCTTGTCGTCGTGAAGTCCTACACATCTGGTTCACAACCTCTCTCTCTGTCTCTACTCTTCTCTCCTTTCTTGTTTCTGTTTTATTTTTCATTCACTAGTTTGATCTCCAAACCAGAACACATGAGTTCCACGTGTATCAAATTTTCGAAGGGAAAACATTTTTGAGCCATTCGGGCTCTGTAGCAACTTTGTTTTACTAAATTATTTTTTTTTTCCCGTGTTTTTGGGGTGAGATTTAGGGGTTGTTTGTGATGACCTAAATAAGTGTACTTTTTGTCTTTTTACGAAAAGATGTGCAGAAAAGTAGAGAGGTGATGTGATGAAAAAAAGATAAAAATATGAATTATTTTTGGACTGCTAAACTTGGCCTTACTTTTTAGAAAAATATTATTTCACGCCACTTCTTCTTACTCTTTTTTTTATTTTACACTGAAAATAAAATGTCAATAAAATTTCACAAATAATATATATATTATAAAAAATTGGAGAGGGAAAATTAATTCCCAATTTTTTTAATTTAAGCAATTTTTTTGGAGTCGAACTAATAACAACTGCTTATTAAATATTTGTTAAAAACTAAAAAATATCAAAATAATTAAAATTTAAATATACATTTTAATATATTTTATATAACATTTTAATATATATTTTTTAATTATATTAGATACAAACATAACCATCGGCTATTTAGCAATACTTAGCATTTTTTATTTTATTTTTTTTGAGATTTACGAGCCAGTCTTATTGATCAAAGTTATTTACTTATAATTTCTATTTTATTTTTTCATTTATTAATATTTTCAAAAATTATTGAAATAAAATAAATATTTTAAGACTTATTAATGCATTAAAAAAAGTACACATGACTTATAGGCATTTAGGTTAAGACTCTGTAATTTATCTTTTTTTTTTTAAAAAAAAAAAAAAATTGGGGATATTGACCATGGTCGGCTGGGCAGGCCGGGCAGCCTGTAAAAGAAAAGAAGGGTTGACGTCACAGGGTGGGTTTACATTCTTTCTGGGCCTTGGACCTGTCGTTGTCAGGTCCATCAGGGCAGCCCACTGGCTGTCCCATTCCTCTCCTTCCTTCTTATAAGCCCAGGCACCTTCCTCACTTTTCTTCATTCGTTCGTTCATTTTCTCTCTCTCCCTCTCTCTCTCTCTCTCTCTCTCAAAGAAAGTCATAGTTTGTGTGCTTTTTTTCTTATGGGGGAGAGAAAAAAGCTTTCAGAACATAAAGCAGGACAGAAATTTCTACAAGGTATGGAAACCCTAGTGTAGCTTTTGAGAAACTTTCATTGTACTTTTTATAGATATGCACTGTCAAAAGTAGTGACACCCATTGTTTTCTTTTGTTTCTAATATTGAATTCTAGTCAAGTCTGTTTAACAAATTCAACTATATCTTCTATACCATATTTTTGCTTCTCTCAATTTTTCATGTGTGAAGTTTCTTCCTTCCTTAACCACCATATCCACATTTTTTTTAAAAAAAAAAAAAAAAAAAACACTATTTCTACTAAAAAATTATACAGAATCATCCATTAGAATAATATAGATGTGATATTTTTGCAATTAATAATCATTTTGGCGTGTAATACAATTTTTTGGTGCAGGTCTCCTCCAAGTGTATGGAACCACCATCATGTCTCTCACTTCAAAAGGTCAAAATCATGAGCAAGAAGGAATCTCTGGTGACCGGAGTGTCACCGGAGGCTCTCAATTTGGCATTGAGAACTCCATTGTGAAGGTGGCTTGTTCATGTTAATTGGGTGCTATCCTACCTGAGCTTTCCCAGAACCTTTACTTCTTCATTCTCCCTCTTTTCTTTTTTTCTCTCTTTTGACTCGTTGCTTTTCTTTTTTTTTTTTTTCTTTCTTTCTTCCCTTTTGTGTTAATTTTTCTTGACCTTGTAAGACCTTTTCTTGACCTTGTAAGACCCCCGTATCATGTCTTTTATCTTTGTTTTTAATTTTGTTACAAACCTTACATTAGTAATTATTGGTGTAAGGTTTGGTCCACGTCTTTTTTCGTTCCCACTCAACCCATGTTCTCCTTCCCCGTCTATCCCTCCTGAGCTATCCAAATTAGACTTAGCAAATCAGAAAATTGATCAGTATTTGTTTGAAAGGTTGGCTTGGTCCAACCATAAAGATTGTTGTTAGCAGATTCACATAAGCAATCTCTCCAGAAATGGGATGCCATCACCAAACTTCACTTTAATAAAATCCTCGTGAATTGAGTTGACTTTTTTACTAGTAAGCATTGGAGATCTCAAATTCAATATGCTTCTAACATTTTTCTATTTGTAAATTTACGAGGAAGTAAACTCTAGAGTTATGAAGATTACTCAAAGTACTAATAAGGGCTCATTTTTGTTATTTCTTTACTATCTTTCTCTCTTCTATTTGGGTGATATTTTTTTGATTTGGGCTATCAATTTGAGTTGGTATTATGTGGTCAGAGATATGCTGTTAGAGGCATCAGGTTTCGTTGTTTTATATGTTGTTGTTGGCTGAGAAGTGAGTGAGCAACTGAGAGAGAATAAATATTCTTTGCAGATCCGTGGATGAGTTCTTCTCGTGACTGCTCTCATCTCATGTACAAAATATTCACTGTATTATTGAGGATTTCTCTCTCTCTCTCTCTCTCTCCATTTTGAACTTGGTAAGTTTTTGGTATGTAGAAAAAGAACACAAAATATTATGCAAAAAAAAAAAGAAAGAAAAGTGTGGTCCAAACTTATTTAAGTGTGAAATTTTACTGCATAAGATTTGATTTTGGATCACAAACTGTTTGGATTTAAGGATTATGGTTATAAATTTGGGCCACGCATAAACATGCATAAACTTCAAAACATTAGTCTAAAAGTTAGTGAATGATAAAATGTGTGGTGTATGTTTAAATTTAGTATGATATCGGCCATAATAAAAATAAATTGGGTAAATTATAATGATAGCTTCTATAATTTGATCTTTATGTTATTTTGGTCTCTATAATTTTAATTGAGTCAATTTTTATTTTTAATTTTTGATTTTATCTTAATTTGGTCCAATTAATTACGTTATTTAATATTTTCTAAAGAAAAATACCCATATAAGCAGCGTGTATTATATTTTTACGGGCAAAATAATAGCAAACTTATTAAACTCAGTAAGTTAACCAATTTAATGATCATTTTCTGTCAAAAATCTTAATGACTTTATCAATTGGATCAAAGTGCCGTAAAGTCTAAAATTTATGATCAAAATTGAATCAATTGAAAATATAAAAACTAAAATATCATAAGAGACAAAATGCAAGGACTACTGTTATATTTTGCCCAAATAAATTTTATTTATACATTTTATTTTTGACAATTTTTATAATATTTTTTTTGGACTTTTAGCAGTGCTTTGAATTTTCTTATTCTTCACTGAGCTCTTTGCACTTAAGAACTGTGGAGAAACACATCTCAGACTGTCTGCTAATCAGCTTCTCTATACGGACAACATTTTTTGTGGTACTGAGACTTTTTACTAAGAGATAGATGAATAGCTTCTTTTTTTTTTTTACTTCACTGTCCTCTTTTTTATTTACCTGCATGTTTTACTGTTTTTGCGCAAGTCAATTATAGTTTGATAAGTAAAGCTCAGTTTGACATTTGTATGCAGTTGAACTTATTTCCATTTGTTGTGAATAATCAAATCCATTACCCACTTTTGTTATAAAAAAAAACTTTGCTCGTTTCTTTTAATTTTTACCATCCATTTGTGGTGATTAATGGCGTGGTATTGAACCAATGTCATCTTTGCTTTGATATGGTGGTCAACAAGTCACAAAATTATGGTCACATAAAATGATAAAAGTTAGACACACTAGCAATGATGATTAGTAAAAATATCTCACTTTAGAGTATTCTTCATTGAGATTAATGAAAAAAATTATGAACTCCTTAATTATCAACATTCTTTTTAGATAATGATAAATTTCTCAAGACAATAAAGATGTCAATAAATATACTAACCAATATTTAAAACTTATATACATGGGTTTCATAATTTGAAGTGGGACTTGATAATGTTGTTCTTAGTTGACATGTTTATTGTTACGGTAATATCCCTAGCTTTATTTTTTCAGTTAACAAACAACTGCCAATTTGATGATGATGAATTTTAATGTCCAATTGATAGTACCATTAAAACCTTTATACAATGGGCTTAATAGTGAAGTTATTCAATTGTAACTCGAGCATGATAAGTTCAAATATATAATTAAAAAAAAAAAAAATTTGCACACCGAGTTGCATATTTGACTTTTTTAGACTTATCTTAGCATTGAGATTGTCAATCTAAGAGCACCTTCACCCAATATGTCAAATTCAATGTGACAGTCCAACAATTCTATTTTGACATACCAAATGAACTTTATCCGGTGTGTCAAAAACTGACTTAATTTTTAGCATCACCCCTTCATGTCAATTTTGACATGAAAACCACTTCATGTCTTTTTTATTTTTTATCTTTTTCTTTTTTCTTCAAATGAGGTAACACAAAAAAGTTCAAATTTTAAAAATAATAGAATAACATATTTGGCATATCGAGTGGAGAGCTTCTATGTCAAATTGAAAAAGCCAATTTGCCACCAAAGTTTTCAAAAAAATTTTGACATACCAAATTTTGAAGGTTTGGACGGAGATACTCTAAGAGCCTATTTTTAGTGTATCTTCTCTGAAATTAAAAGTCGATTATTAGAAAGTAAAAATTAAAAACACTCATTACCTAATTTATAGATAATCAATTTATTTAAACTATTTATTCTTTCATAAATTATAAAAGAATATTATATCAAACATTGTGATATAAATTCATAAAATTTTAAAATTTATAAACAATTCTAATAAATTGCACCAAACAATTAGAATTAAATGGAGTGTGGACTAATTTAATTATCCATTTCCATGTGATCTCAGGGAAAACGAAAGCGAGTGGAGAAGCAACGGTATTGTAAAGGAGTGGGACATTTGAGAATGGCATTAAGCAATGTTTTAACTCACACCGCAAGGTTCATGTACTATCCCTAAGCCCCAAGTATTATTATATTTCAAAGGTTTTAATGGGATAGGAATTGGTGCCTTTCAAAGGTGTTAAAAATGATTGAGTATTATCCCTCAAATAATGTTATATGTGTTAATTGACATATTAATTAGTGTATTAATAGATAACGTGTCTTAATTTGAGAGGTTTTGAATTTTTATAATTTGTATAATAAGTGGGGTCATAATTTTAAAATAATAATGTCATAATATATATTAATACATTAATTAATATATCAACAGGTACATGTAACACCACTGTTATCCCTTACAATATGTGTTTTAATTGTCTTTTTTAGATTCAAATTTGAGCAATTATTATTCAAAGATTCCCAAATTAGTGCATTGGGAACTTGTCAACATCATATATCAAATATGCAATATTTAATTTATTTTATGAAGTACAAAATTTAAAATTGTAGTCACTTTTTATTTTTATTTTGCCAAAATACTCATCAAATTGATAACTATTAAAACTCTACAATCAAATTTTCAATTCTTGTTTGATACATTATCTAATAATTTATCATATTTAAATACCAATTATTGTGATGAGTTTGACATGTTCTTTTTAAATGGTTTTACATTTTTTAATGAATTTTACTCCTAAAAACTTACTTTCATAGATTCCTCATCACAGAATCAAAAGTAAGTTTTAAAACCTGCAATTATTATTCCAATGGCTTTTCAACAAATGGGTATTATTGGTCAATGTGTTTGGATTTTAGATTTTGAGAGTGATTTATGGAGGGCTTTCTCTTCACAAATTCAAACATGACCTAAATATGTTCATGATCAAAGGCAAACTTGACACCAATTATATCCTTAGATATTGTGCTTTAGTTAGGGACCATTGATTTTTACCAAAAGAGAAGTTATATATATAGTCACGACTTCAAGAACAACATGATTATCTTCACAAGTGGGCATTCAAAAGGTATAAACCTTTACTCTTGTGCATTGACTTAGATGTTTACTCTCTCTCTCTCTCTCTCTCTCTCTCTATATATATATATATATATGAAAAAATTTATTCATATAGAAAGTATATAAAAAAATAGAAAACATTATCAATAGATCTTACTTTTGGGATTTATTACTCATTAAGTCAAATGATAAATTTATCAGTCTCTCTTGTTTTTATGAATAAATTTACCGTGATGAATTTATCAGTCAAGATCTGTAGGTAAATAAATCTAATTAATAGGACTGATTGGTAAGTCGCTCAAAAAAATACTGCAAGAATGATGTAGTAATGTTAGTTTTACAAAATAAAAGTAATATTCATGAACATTTTGTTTTAAAGTAAAAAATTTCACATTGAATCAAATCATTCTATACAAATATTCTATTTATTTATCATTGCCATATACATATTTATGGATATGAGGAGGGATAAAAACACAAAAAACTTGAATGAAAACAATCTCATGATAAGGCTTATATCTAATGTTTGGAAGGCCAACACTAGACCCATGATGGCAAAGTCATTTTCAGTCCTTTGGGTGACATCCTAACATGCTTCTTTCATTAGTTGCTTTTAAACTTTTTAACTCAACACCACTCCTATGACTCTACAGAAGTTGGGGCATTTATTTACCTCATGTCAATGGCCGTCTCAACATTGCCATGATGGTTACCAAATTCTTCAACATGCTTTGGAACCCTTGCTGGAATTATTATGAGGACAAGTCATCACCTAATAAGGCTGTGTTTATTGGAAGGCAAAATGAGAATTATATACCCATATTACTTTAGTCCTTATTCCCCTCTTTTAGTTATTAGTGATATATGCTTCTAAACTTTTTTCCCCCTTCCCTTTATAATGCACTGCTCTTCATATTTGTCACTGTATGAATGCCATCATTTTTTATTTTTACTTTTTACGTAGATTCAAATAAAGAAAATGATAAAACAACTCATGTTTTTAGATCCAATGATGTGTAAATGATATGATTGACTGATGATTGATAAAATATGAGAGAGAATGTTACCTTGGATATCTTAATTGATTGTCAGATCATTAACTTTGAAAATTGAATATAATTTTTGGACTTGTATATAATGCTGAAAAATCTAGAAATCCCCTAGATTTTGATTTGTGATTATGTATCAATTTTAAGCAGAATATAACAATCCCAATCAAACAATCAAACAATCATAATTTTTGGACTTGTATATAATGCCCTTCAAACAATAAACATAATATTTAAGACACTATATTTAGAAAATAATGCAATATATGTATGGTGGCAAGCACATCCTCAGCATAGCCTTGAATTAAACCATCCCGAAGAGCTAGACAGAGAAGATCAAGTAGGGATTTTCTTATGAAAAACTTTTTGTATTTATTTTGTGGATGTGAAAAATCAGATTATAGAGCCCTCTGTGAAATATATATCATAAAAAACAACCTCAGGCACAATCAATCATAGAGATGCTTTAGCTAATTTTGTGTGTGTGTGTCAAGCAATCCCCTATGAATTTATGAAACGCATCATCAAAATGGGCTTCTACACATGAAGTTCAATATGGGCTTCGAGGTTTGTTAAACTGGGCTTTTAGGCCTCATTTT